TATATATATATGACAATAAATATGTTTATTACTATTTGAGAACCGAGACCATTTAATTGAACACAAAGAGTAGATCATATACCTCTGTATTTTACCAAAGTTCTCCGGCATTCTTCTGAACTCACAATCAAAAATATTTGAACGCCATGCCAATAACTAGATCTGAAAACCCAAATTTAAAAATTTAAATTTAGGGTAACCAAACCATCATTAAATCACCACCAAATAATTATCATAATTCATAACACCAACATACAACATATACTCACCCTAGTCCAATAAGGTACTAAACGAAAGATTTAATTTGATCTTTATAAACTACTCCAATAGGATGAAGGATCAATTTACCACGTTCCGCTGAGTAAGGATTGCAAAAATGAATAAAGAAGTACGTAAGATAATGAACAAAGAAAAATAAAAGAAAGAGAATACGCTAGAATAAGAAAAGAAAACGAAAATAAATTTATGTATTTCACAATTCGACCTTAGTTCAAGGGTTCTTATGCCTTTTTCCTTCTCTTTTCATGCATTATTCACATTTTGAGGTTTATCAGTTAATTAGTGTCCCTTCATTATAGTAGTAGTAGTATAATTTTTGGTAAGTTTGTTCAATCTCTTAACTAGTCGAAAAAATTCATGAACCAGAAAGTTCAATGGACTATTTTCATAACCCCAAAAATTGTTGGAAATTGGGATAAAGTAGAGATATGTCATATTTCAGGTAAATATTCAAATAGTTAACCAGAGACATAATTTAGTTGTACGAAAACAAAATTAAAGGTGATAAGATGGACTTGAGTTTTTCCCGATATAATTAATTGAATATGAATTATTTGTCTATTTTTCTTGGGTTTGTTTCGTTATGTCTTTGAGGTATGTTTTTTGTCTTTTTTTCTTATTTTTTAGGGGTAGGCCCTTGGCTTGAAGAGGGCAAAAGGGAGGACGAAGACTGCTGCGCTTAAACAGTGTATGAAAAACTAAAATTGTAAAATCACGTTGTCTATATTTTTATTTCGTAATAGTATCTACATGTGTTAAATGAATATAACTAATACCAGGAAAAATCTAAACGTGGTTGTTGAAACATGGCTGCCTCTTTTAATACAATGGACCAAGTTTTTCACTTTTTTGGACCTAACGTATTATGACGGGATTACACTCTCCCATGTAACACCTAACGTAAGATATAGTACGAAAAACAAAGTACTCGTGACTTACATTCTCATATTATAACTTAGGCATGCAAAACGCGCGGTGGAACAGTGTATGGAAAGACTAACTACATTTAGATTATATATATTAAGTTCGTATTTGTTGCGACAAAAGAGTAATGCATGTATTGGTATTCTGACATAAATAGTACTTTTCATTTAATAAATGTTCTTTTTTTTTTTTAATTCTCTCGCAATTGATGGCCTTTTAGACCTTGGTCTAAAGATCTTTCTGAGCAAACTGAAAATTTGATGAAAGATTGTTAAACCGAGGTCTAATGTTTTGTAAGTTATTGGAAACAGTCTAATGATTTATGAGCAAATTGAAAATTATATGAACAAACATTAGAATCTAATATTATCTAGAAGGAATGATTTTCCAAGAGTTATATTCATATAGAGTAACTTTTTAAAATAGAGACAAAATCTAAATTGTGACTTAAAAAAGGCACATTTGCGTAAATCAGATTATTCGGACACCGGCTAATTAAACTAAAGGTTTGGATCTCTATGTGCTTAAGCGTATAGCCGTATAGTATATGAAGTCTTTGTTGTGTAATATATATATAGGAAGTTGGAAGTGATAGATGTAATTTGTAGACAAACTATGGCCTCAGGAATTAGGTGGCATCTCGTTGAACACGTTCTCCCCTAATTTATTTTCTTTTTCTTTTCTATTTTTGAACGTTTGTGATTAATTCCTGTTTCAAGATTGGTGAGTGCAGAATAATTTTTCAGTTGTGCAATCTAATTTTAGGTTTGCCTAATTGAACTAAGAGATCAATCCAAATACAAGGAGCATTTGCATTGCAATATTAGGTAACAGATGGATCCAGTTAGGCATCCCGATGTTCTAGATTTTAGGTAAGAAATTGCAACCTCACAAATCTGCCAGCCAACTTGGTGGACTACCCATATACAACACAAATGAAAGAAACAATTTATAGCATCACAAAAATCAAAATCATATCCAAATATGACAGGAGATACTTTGTACTCATGTCTCACATTTGTCATAGTCATTGAGCTAGTTGCAGCAAAGGCGGATGTATTCTACCCATATATATA